GCCTTTTACCCTAACAATCCTAAAACCTTAATCATAAAGTCTTGTAGCTTGAATGAATGGATAGTTTTACCAGTGAAGAGAATAAGAATCTTAATCCTGTTATAAAATGCAAGACGTATCCTCTGAAGTGGCGAAAGAGTGCTGGTTCTTTGGTATTAGTTGTCCTAGTAGAAGGGAGAACTTCCTGCTATTATTTCTGTTGGTGAAATTGATAATAAACCATCACAAGGGACAGTGGAACTACTTAGTACAAATAATCCTAGCATCTTTTTGTTGATAAAAGTTAATTTCAGGATCATAGAGAACAGAATATATAAAGCTATATTTTGAAGATTAGGCTTTAATCCTCTGAAAATAGTAAGCAAGGCAAAACCATTAAATAAAAATTTTGAATATAATCCAAAGAATAAATGTTAGAGGATATTTCAGAATATTTGGAATACATTCTGTAAACAAGAGTCTGTAGAAACAATCAAGGGGAAAAGCTCAGCATAGAGTCAGAATTAACCATTCACTGACATTCAAATCACTTAATAGACTTGAAAAATCTCAGGTATGATTTTGGTATCAAATAGTATCTGATTTTGGATGATACCAAATTTTATAGGTTTATAGAATATTTTTATATAATTGACCTTAACTTATATTAACAATTTAAACAAATTATGTCCCAAGGAATTCGAAAACCATAGTGAAAGCTAAGAGGAGCTAACCCCAGGGCTCTTTTCCAGCTCACCTTTCATGTGTTTTAGCAGATTGAAACCTAAATAATTCAGTTGTAAATAATTCAGTAATTCCGTAGAAAACAAAAGAAACATGTAAAGACCCTGAATTGGATGGGCTGGACTAGGTGCGACAGATTAACTGATGCCCCTTTCGTCTGCCCTCTCTGTGCACCCTGAGAGCTCACAACACTGCATGTGTTAGCATATAATTTCACCTCATGCCCTGCACAAGTGCATGACTTGCACAGAACATTTCATCAATTGTGTACCCCTGGGCCATTTTCTCTTTAAATCCTAAGACTGACCAGGATATGGAGTTGTACCTTTGCTAAGAGGCCAAGCTTTGGGGACTTTTACCAAGGTGAACTTGGGAGGAAAGTTACTTAAAGATGCTTTTACATATTTTGTACATCTTTTTGGTGTGTCTGTGTGAGGAAGATTAGCTCTGAGCTAACATCCAATGCCAATCCTCCTCTTTTTGCTGAGGAAGATTGGCCCTGGACTAACATCTGTGCCCATCTTTCTCTACTTTATATGGGACGCCACCACAGCATGGCTCAACAAGTGGTGCATCGGTGCACACCTGGGATCTAAACCTGCGAACCCTGGGCTACCGAATCGGTGCGTGCACTTAACTGCTACACCACCAGGCCAGCCCCTGGTACATGTCAATGTCCATCTTCAGCACCAGTGCAGACGTGAACTTGGACATAGGTCCAAAAACCATGACAATCCCTAGAGTCTCAGCACCTTCCCTATGCTTCAGTTGAGGGAAAAATCTCAAGTGCCTTAGTCCTGTGGGCCACAGAGTCTTACCTGAGATCAGGTGGATGAACAGCAGGGATTTCTGCCACAGTGACAGTGTGATTATGTTGTGCCTTAATACAGAGGTCATCGCTTCCTTCTGGTAAGAAAAACAATATGTAGAAAGCAAAAAAAAAAAAAGTTTGGAAACTTCTCGTTTTCTGCTAAAGAAAGGAATTAGGAATATGTTAAACATTGATGAGTTTCCTTGTTAGAATATGAACAAAATTTATTGTAAATATATTAGGTAATCTATTCGTGGATATCTGTGCCCACAAAGCTTTAATTAAAGCATTCGGTGAAAACAGATAATGCTACTATTTTATATATAGCAAACAGTAAAGATATTCTCTTTAGGTACCTAGATAGAATTGTTTATAATTCCAGCAGGAAAGAAATGGTGTCTTCAGTGGTTGGATGGGTCCAGGCCAGTCTTTGTGAGTTCTCTGTGATGCAGGTAATAACTGACCTTGAGAGGCTACTCAAAGGCTGAATTTCCTTAGCTACTTAGATCTCTAAATACTGACCAGAATTCATCAGAAATACTACAGTGGGGACTGTAGATTTTGTTTAGGGTTTGTCATGATCCTTAAAGTCTTTCGGAGCACTCTGACAGTCATATGCATAGTAGAGAGGGGACACTCCTTCCCTACTTCCTTCAATGTGGCCTTTCTAGCCTTGCATACTCTTATCTCATCAGGCCTTTGCAAGTCCACAAGTTAACTCTGAGATGGTGTTGAATCTTTTTGTGGGTCTGAGATAACCTGAGGTGGTTTTCATTGTCAGAAGCCATGTAGGTTTGCTCCTAGTGATGTGAAGTGAAAGTAGGTACAAAAAGCGTGTATTGATTTTAGGCAAAAGATTGAAGTGAACACAGTAATTAGAGGCACCATAAAAGGCTCCTCTATAGGACCAGAATGTAGCACATTTCCTGATTTAACTGCAATGCAGTTGCCATGTCTGTGGGTTCCAGGAAAGAAATTTGTTCCACTAGAATTTTGTATTCAGACTATTTTGAAATTGATTAAAATTAATATCTAAGAATATCTTTACAAATTACCTGTTAAATGAAGCTTAATG